ATATATCCAGTAGCCAAGTATTGATTGATTATCTTAATTGAAGGGCGTATTTGGTGGAGTCAAAATCAATGAAAAATAGGAAACTAGTCCCTAGTTATATGCTTAACTTGAAGGTGTGCCTTTTGAATTGATAGAGACTATAAGAAGCATGATATGTTCGTGAAATATAGGACTGCTTTGTGGTGAAAAAACATAACATGTGGCAGAAGAATAATCATGCCTGTGCATATTCTTATATATAATCTTCATTAGTGGTCGGTAGTCAAGTATATAAAAGGAAGAATATGGTTCAAGGACCATGGAAGCAATTTACTATCAAATAATAACCCAAAGATTATGAAACATCACTACAAAACTAGAAGATTGATTTGAAAATAATTTTAGATAAGAAAGACTATAACAACCCTACTTTTCTTTTTCTTTTTTTAAATTTTTCAATTAGATAATGGTTTCTTATTAAATAAAATGAGTACTTGTCAATGAATAACTACTTGTTGAAATATGATATTTGTTTTTCTCACAACCAAATTTTTTCATATGCTTGTCAATTAGCAAATGGCTTCTTATTAAATGTGAATGAATACTTATTAATTAATAAATAATTACTTGTTGAAACATGTTCTACAATTATCCTTTCTACAACCAAGTTCTTTCAGATTCTTGAATTTATCAATTAGTGAATGGCTTCTCGTTAAATGTAAATGGGTACTTGTTAATTCATAAATTACTATTTATCAATTTAAAAAAGAAAGGTGGAGGTATTATATTCTTTTTTCATATAAAATTATTTTCATATCAATCACCTACAGTGATATTTCAGAGTCTTTTAATCCTTGATTGATATTAAATACCATCAATGGTCCTTGAATGATATTTTCCATATATATACTAATGCCCTTTATTTTGGCATGTGCCAGCATGGAAGATTGACAAATAAATACTAGGGTTTTGCTAATTAATTACTTTTCTACTGTTTTAATTAAACATCAAATCCAGTGAATGGAAGATAACAATAAATCTGAATCATATCCACCAGTACAAGATCCAGAATAATATGTAAATAGTGGAGGGAATGAAAAGTTAGGAAAGAAAAGCATCCGGTATTGTTGAATAAGAGGAGATAAAATATGTTAGGGTTAAACCACATGGACGACATATGATTTGCTGAACTTCCACTATTCACATGCCCTCAATGCTAGCCTTCCTTTTTGTCCCTTTGTATTACATCTCAACCTGTTACTGCCAACAAGGCACCTATCTGGCACATCGAGAGAGAGAGAGAGAGAGAGAGAGAGAGAGAGAGATTGGAGGGGTTAATACTGAGGATAGGTTTGTGAATGTATTGCCAGAAAGGAATTACCTCACTACTGTTCTGAAGAATTATGATATGAATAAGAGAGGGAGGGTGGAAGGGGAATATAATTCTTTCTAAATTGACAAATGGAGACAGACATAGATTTACATTATTGAGAATCCTGAGCTGTACTGGGCAAATGGGACCCTGCGGGGAGCACAGTTTTGTAATATCTGTATATATACCTCAGATTTCTCCTATATGATCAATGTTGTTTTATGAAGTATGTATCTACAGTCATTCGCTGATCTTACACCAATCTATGTGTACGAATTTAAGCTCCTGGATAATTTGCATGCTTTTGTGTCAATGTCTAGTGATTTTAGTTGTATCTGAGGTTGATTAAATTACAATATGATGTAACTGGTTTGACATATGTAGAAGCATTTTAATTCCTAGGTTTCGTTACATTAATTCAATTTCGTGCCCACTCTACTCTTCTTTTATACTCTCATCAATACCTAAACTCACGGGTTCACTAATTGTACGTAACTTGTCATGAGATATATCATCAAAACATTAATTCAACGAATGAAGTAGCGATCAACGTTTCAACACTCAACGATCAATCAACTTAACATTTATTTTTATCTAAAGACAATTTATACGGGAAAACAGAAATTCACCGAATAAGTTTTATATTATGAGAGTACCTAAGTTGACCCTATGATAGGGATACAGTGAAGCATCACATGCTCAAGTATTTAACCCTGAACTCATGGACCCAAGAAAAAAAAAAACCCTTAAACTTACACACTAATTTTTCAAAAATTCATTGAAAAGACCATTACCAACAAATAAAACTACCATGGATTATAATTGAATTTCCTACACAGAAGCGAATTCCATTCCCATGATTAGCTTCTTGTTTTTGGCTGGAACAAAACTTTAGCAGATTCCTGACCATCAGCTTTGATCTGGACTTTAATTTCCTTTCTGTGCATATGCATGCACATTCTCTAATCATAACAAAGGCCAGTATATATAAATATCTTTGAATCAAATATGATTCCAGCAAAAGAAATTAAAAGCTTTTTAAACTCAAAAGCAAATCGTCTTCACCTTTTTATAGATAGAGAGAGAGAAAAGGGGGGAGGGTTCTATTCCATTTGGCGTTAAAACTCCGAGGTTAAGGCCAACAAAGCACATGAAGTGGCCGATAGCGTGAAACAAAACAGCAAAATGATATCCGTAAGAGAAGCAAAATACTTACACAAATATTATGTGATCTCTCTCTCTCTCTCTCTATATATATATAATATAATTATGCATAGGTATATTTTATGATTATATGGAGCAATAATTTTAACACTATGTCACCTTTGCATCATTTTTGATAGATGTTTACCTACCTTACTTCTCCCATCAGACCTCCCTCTCTTGGATATTTATTTAAATTACTATTTTGCCCTTTCATAACTTATCTCTTTAAAATTAGTCTCTCTTTTTTCATTTGATTATATAATGCTATTCAACTATATGGTGGGATCATTTTCTTTTAAAAGAGCCATTTTCAAACTCAAGAAACCAGAACTAACACATCCTAATGCTGATAAATATGCACTTATCTCATGAATAATTATTCGGGTCCCACTCCCTCGCCCACTCTCTTGCATTATGTCTTGCTTGTTCCATTTGTCATGCCCTTCAATAATTGAGCTCTTTTGAGGATAAATCATTATTATTTTTTGGATTAAAACATATATTATCTTGACAGGTTCATACTTGAAAGATCAATTTTTATCAATTAGGTTGGAAATTCATGGTTAGACAATAATGTCCATTTTTTAAAGATAAAATGAATTCATTAGTGCTCACGAGTTTACATTCTAAGCTTTATCGATTTATTTTCCTTTCTTCTCTACGTCCTCAAAATAGATGACTGCAACGGTGTTCATGAATATTATATATATATTTTTGGTAAATAAGTACATAAAAAATAATTGGGTCATAAAGTCCACCACGTTGAAGCACGTTGTGGGGCCATTACTAGTTAATGGAAGCATATGTATATTCAATTAGCGAAAATATTAAAATATGCCCACTTTATCCCCTTCTCTTCCACATATATTTATCTGGACAACAATTAAATTCACAATGAAAAAAAGAGGGAAGAATTAATTAACACAATAACTCAAACTAGTAAATCATCGGCAACAGTCACCTCAAAACACACATAGAGTACAGATGCAAATGGTCCCTAAAAAACTTCAAATAATTGGCAAATCATGGAGAGCCTCACAACAATTTTAGCCATCAAAAAATGCATTCTATTTATTATGTTAGGTTGAGCCTAACTGAAAGTGTCACCAAGTTATTTTCCATTCATAAATGGTCTTTGCGACCTTCATCTAACCAAATACTCCTCCATGGCCCTTGTATACTTCATCATTATCTCCATATTATTAAGTTAATATTATATTTTAATTAATCAAAAAAATGTTTCTTAACCAACTACAAAACTCAACGAGTTTATCAGACCATTGAAGATCCACATTGAAGCCAAGCCACGTGGCTCCATTAGCATCCAAAGTTTGTTAGATAATATCTGAGTTCATATATATTCCTTTTCGTTTTAGGGTTAGTGATGTTCCATTTTAATTTCATTGCATATTATTACAACTAGTGTTTTAAAAATCAATCAAATTGGTCAGTTCAACTAGAAACCAGCTCTTGATCCAGTCAGTTGACTTCTCAAAATCGAGTACAAAGGAATCAATCAAGACCTAAAAATCAACCAAAAACTGAAAAAATTGGTTGAAAACCAGACCGATTTCCTTAAAAAAACTGGATTGAATTAATTAAAAATGTAAAAAAATTAATATTAAAATTAAAAATTAATTAAAACAAAGAACAACTATTCATAATTAATATTAATAATGTATTTCATCAACAATAAATCATTTTACCAAGCATTTATTAATATTTGCATGTATTTCTTATTTAATTATGATACATAAATTAAAAACGTATTAATTTAATATCAATGATTCAACCATAATTAGATCAATAAATTTTGAACTAGTGTCTAGTCTGATTCAATAACCGATCTGGATTTTAAAACCTCGATTATAACTCACTATCTCAGGGTTAATCCGGTAATTCGCAACTCCCCCAACATTCAGCAATTACCAAAGCTGACCTACAGTTGGATGGGCCACAATTTGTTATCTCCATCGTCGCTGTCTAGCAGGCTGTTCCCACTACAACAGTTAAAATGTCAAAAATATATTATAAAAAAGACATCATCTTTCTAATTGCATCGTTGTTTTTCCCTTATAATTAGTTTTTACTTTTAAATGTATTATATTATAATTCATCCCTTCATTTTCTTTTATTCCCTTTTTTGAGCACTTACGTATGACACACATAAGAATAATAACAAAGCGACTCTTCCCTTGTCATTCCTTTTCAAAATTCAACAGAAACAAAAAAAAAAAAAGATTAAAAAATAAGAGAAGATTCCGCAGCCTAATAAATTAAATTAAGGAACACATAATACACAGAGAAAGAAAAGTTGCTTCGGCTAAATTGAAGCATAATTTTTCCAAATTTTATATGATGAAATTGACAGAGAGATCCCACCTAAAAATGAGCAAATATTTTAATTCACCTCCCCTCTCCCTCCCTTCATATCTCTCTCTCTCTCTCTCTCTCTCTCTCTGCACGCACCATCCATTGGAATAAATGAAATCCCTCTGAGCAGTATTCACCTTTGTTTTCTGATTATTCTTTTCTCAGCAGATGTAATTGCTTACACACATCTTCTCTCCCCCCCCCCCTTATGCAGCTGGGAGATCCGAGTGTGTTAGAGACTCCCTCCGGCGAGGCCACGATGGCGGCCCCCGTGACAGCTACTGCACCGCCAGGAGCTGCGGCGTCGGACGGTCGTGCAGAAATCGAGATGATGAATAATATTGTTTGTACAGACGCAACAAATTGTGGAGATGATATTGATCATCAGAAGAGAAGTGTTGGTGGTGGAGGACAAGGAGGCAACCGGTGGCCTCGCCAAGAAACTTTTGCTCTGTTGAAGATAAGGTCAGATATGGACGCTTCGTTTCGGGATTCCAGTCTTAAAGGTCCACTTTGGGAACAAGTTTCAAGGTATATATATAAATAATTGAATTCATTTTTAATATTTATTCTATCGCTGATTTATTTCTTCTTCTCCTCTCTTTTATTTTTGAACATGGAAGTAGTTTCGGAAATGAAACTGTTACTACTCATTTAAGTTCTTGCGTGATCTGTCTCTCTCCTGATTAGGATTTCCCAATCTAACTGTTTCTAACTCATTTCCAATCGTGCTATCTGAAAAACTATATATAATCTCCGTCGGTGCTCAGTACTACTGGATCTTGTTTCTCAACCTTCACCGTGTGGCTTTCTGATTTATATTGCTTCATACGTCATTCCAGCTTGAGATTAGTAGGAATCAAACAGGCTCATATCATCTGCCTTTTTATTAAGCTCGGAAGAATATCGATTTCAGGATACAAAAGACAAGTATACGCATAGAAATTAATGAATCATTATGTATCTGAGAAGTTCGTCAGAGCTTATTTGCTCTCTCCCTTCTTGGATTCTAACCTCTTATTCACAAATGAGTACTCTTTTAGGTATGAACTGCCCTATTGTTAATATATAATTGTCAACAACATCCCGAGAGAAATAAACCAGCATATAAATGCTCGCTTTTGATTTAGTTTTTCCTCATTTACGCGAAACCAGTAATTTTTTCTAACAATGGAAAGCGTTTTCTTTATTTTTTTTATATATAATTTTGTTTGCATATAGGAAAATGGCGGAACTTGGATATAGTCGAAGCGCGAAGAAGTGCAAAGAGAAGTTCGAGAACGTGTACAAGTACCACAAGAGGACCAAAGAAAGCAGAAGTGGTAAGCCAGAAGGCAAGACCTACAAATTCTTCGATCAATTACAAGCCCTTGAAAATAGATTCACTGTCTCTCACACTCCAAAACCACCTCCTCCTCCACCACAACCTTCTTTCCAAACATGGCCCAGCAATATTAATAATGATTCTACCGCAACCATCTCTTACGACGTCACTACTATTCCATCCACTATAAACCCTACTCTCATTTCCCCGCCGCCGCCGCCACTGGCGAATATTGGCTCTACCACCAGCACCAACCCTAGGAATTTGTCCAACAAGAGCCTCTTCTCATCTATCACGACCACCTCGACCTCGTCGTCCACCGCCTCCGACGAGGACATGGAAGATAAGTACAGGAAGAAGAGAAAGATGAAGGACTACTTCCGGAGGCTGACGAGGCAGGTGCTGGCCAAGCAGGAGGAGATGCAGAAGAGGTTTCTAGAAGCCATAGAGAAAAGAGAGCGCGAAAGAGAAACACAGTTAGAAGCTTGGATGGCTCAGGAAATGGCGAGGATCAATAGAGAGCATGACCTTCTAATCCAAGAAAGATCTACAGCGGCCGCCAAGGATGCCGCCACCATCACTTTCCTCCAGAAGTTATCCGGTGGCCAGCAAAATCCGGCACCACCGCATCCACCGGCCCCGCCGCAACCTGTAATGCAAGTAGCAGAACCTCGTGAACAACTGCAATTGCTGCCTGTTGAGAACACGTTTGAAATGCAAAAGAAAGTGAATAATGTAGACAACGGACATGATAATGCAGTTTGTGTTTCTAATTGTCCTCCTTCTTTTTCTTCTTCAAGGTGGCCAAAGGCAGAAGTTCATGCATTGATAAGGCTGAGGACGAGCATGGACCCAAAGTATCAAGAGAATGGACCAAAAGGACCACTATGGGAGGACATATCAGCTGGAATGCAGAGGCTAGGTTACAATAGGAGCTCCAAGAGATGCAAGGAGAAGTGGGAGAACATCAACAAGTACTTCAAGAAAGTGAAGGAGAGTAACAAGCAAAGGCGCGAGGACAGCAAGACATGTCCTTACTTTCGTGAGCTCGATGCTCTTTACAGAGAGAAGAGCAAAACCAACAACAGTATCTTATTTGGCGCCGGAAATCCCAATATGATGATGGAGCCGTTGATGGTGCAGCCGGAGCAGCAATGGAGGCCGCCTCCGCAGCACGCGGAGGAAGAGGGCGGTGCCGGGAGGGAAAATGCAAAGAATGTGGTTCAGTACGAAGCGAGAGAGAGAGAGGAAGAGGAGGAAGAGGAGGATGAGATGGATGAAGATGATGAAGTTTTGGAAGATGAAGATAGGATGGAGGATGATCAAGAACGACGTTATGAGGTTGCAGCGACAAGCAATAAAGTTCTTTCCGTGGATACTGTTGAATGAGCGGACATGATAGGGCAGATTCTGATTGGAGGAAAAGCCTTTTGATTTTAATTATTTTTATTAAACTAACAATCTAGTCTTCAATTTAATTGTGAGATTTATTTAATTTTTCATCTTTCAAAATGAGTGAAATTAAGCACCACTTGATGTTTAAAAGGTAGAAAATAAATATCATCATAGATTGGTAGTAGCGTGCAAACTGCGAGCAGGATTTCAAGAAGTCATTTGTAAATACAGAAAGATTAAAACTAAACATTTCCAACAAATCGTTCAAGAAAATAATTGTTCTTATTGGCTTGGTTTGATGAGACTCGGGTCTGGATAAGTTCTGAGGTCTTTATCTATTGGATTATTTCGTGAAAAAATTATTCTCCGTAATAAAATAATATAATATTGAAAAAATGATAATAAATCCTTCCAAATAATATCAATGATAATCTAATTCTTTAAAATGTCATAATTATTCTGAAGTATTTAAAGATTTTTTTCTTAATAATTTTAAATTGAAAAATTATTTTACCTTTATTGATAAGTTATGATTTTCTATTGAATTATTGTGATTTATTTAAAAAAATTATGATTCTTTAAATAAAAGTTGTACATGGGGCTTGTTATTTTAAGAATTTATTTTTTAATAATAGAAATTATACTTTAAAATAAAATTATTATTTTTTAAGTAAAATTATTGATTGATACTTGTTTTTGAATAACAGAAATTACATTTAACAAGTTGTAATTTTTTATTCAGCTTTTACAATTTATATAAAAAGTTATGATTTTTTAAATAAAAATTGTGATTGGAGCTTACTATTTTTAATAAGAATAAAATAATCTTTTTATTAAAAAGTTATTGACATTAAAATTATGATATTTTAAAAAATTAAATTATTATTTATATGTTATGGAAAAATTTTATTGTTATTTTTTCAGTAATATTTCTTTCAAATCTCAGAACAGTACAATAAATGAAAGTTTGATTTCCTCTAATCCTTTGTGCTTCTTCTTCTTGTGTTTCCCCCCGTTTTTGGGGATCGGGAAGTGTCATCCTCAAGCATGGTCACAGCACACGGACAGACACAAAGTATTTATCAATATACAAAAAATAAAGTATTTATCAAACACACACCTGCATCTAGTTAAAGGCGAAACCAAAAGAAAAAAAAAACCAGGAAAAACACTGTAATTATTACGAAGATGACCCATCTGAAAAGCGAGGGCCTCTGGTGGCGGCACATTATATACAGCCATGATATAGTGAGAGAGAGAGAGAGAGAAGGAGGGAGGGGGAAATTTAGATCCATTCTAGCCCCTTTTACAGCTGAATTTATCTCTTGGAATTAGCGAGGAGAAAGAATGACATAAGGTTGAAAGTGGGTACGTGTTTGAATTTCTTTGCTAAGAGGTAAGACGAAGGGTTGATGATGATGATCAAAATTCAAACAATTTCAATGTGATGAAGAAAAGTACCCATTTAATCCTATTTATTAGCTATTGTAAATATTTTATTGAATTAAAAAAATCTTAAATCAGTATTTTCTTCAAATTAAAAAACCTTAAATTTTTTTCATTAATTCTATCCAAAAGTTAAACAAATTTCTAGCTTTATCAATATTTAAATATACATATTTTAAAAATAAAATAAGTTAACATTTTATAACATTTTCATTATTTAATAGGGATAAAAATAAAAATAAATACAATAATTATTAAAATATTCTGCTTAAATAATACCAAAAAAATATTATTTATATCTTATAAATAAATTCAGAGGAGTATTAAATTTTTCTTTTCCTTGTTTTTGATGAAGTACCATAAGTATACTCCTCCGATGACAAAATGTATGCAATATTTATTTTGTAGGTAAAAATATCATATTTTCTTCCTAGCTCTATCCTCATTTTCATTTTTTTAAAAAATATTTTTTTATATTAAACATGCACGTAATCTCTGAAAGTAAAGAGTAGGCTCTTTTTAACTAAATTATTACATAATGACGTGAACTCCTACTTAGCTTAACTTGAGCTGGTTAATAAATATTTAATTTTTTTATTTTTACTTTATACTCAATTACTCAATTTATTAGAGCATTATACAATTAAAAATAATTATACGGCGTGGAAAAGAAAAGGCTGGGTAATTAAAAACTTAAAAATAAAAAAGAAGTGGAAAAGAGGGGAAGGGGGTCATGCTGCGGCGGGCGGGAAGGGGAATAAGAGAGAAAGAGAAAGGAAAGAGTCACATGGGGCAGCGCAGCAGAGGTGAAGTGGAAGTACTTCTTGTCTTGTACACCAACATTGGCCCATCTTCTTCAGCTCTCTCTTCTCCAATTTCACTCCTATTTCTTCATAAAGTTAAAATATAGATCTGCCCCTGAATTTTTCCAGAAACATAATTGATATTTTAAAGTATTTAAAGATGCCATATTGCATGACCTTTTTAAAACAATATAATTTTACCTACATTGACATACCCTAACATTTGATCATTAGTTGATCAACTCTGGTTAAATGACAGTTTGCTTGGCTCTACCATTTTTTTTCTGCAAGGTCAAATATTTGTTTACCTTAAAAATTCTTCATCTTCCTTCTCAATCTTTCTCTTGCTTTCTCTCTCTATTTTTACTCGAAATTGGTTTTTGTATTCAAAGCAAAGCACTAGTGAATGGAAATTCTTCATCTTTCTCCTACGTTCTCTACCCAAAAATTTCCCCAAAATACAAGCCCCAGTTATTGCATGAAAATTCAAGCGAAGGTTGATGTAGGGATTGGGGTTTGATTCTCTCGTTGCTCGATTCCTCATGTTGGGGTTCAATTTTGAAAGCTCGATTTAAGGTTGGATTTTGAATTCTTAATCTAGGAAACTTCAAGGATGAAGACGAAGAAGGAATGGAAGTGTTGAGAATTGAAGAGACAAAAGGAGAGGGAGACTTAGTAGCTAAGAAAACATAGGTGAGGAGCTCAAACATGGCCATCTAGTAGATTATTTGCTTGACTCGGCTGGGATTTTAAGAATCACCCAAGACTCCAAGTTCTTTGTGTAATATCTTGAATTTTTAATTCAAGGATTAAGTTAATTAATCAAGGATATTAAGTAAAATTAAGTGTTAATTAATTTAATTACCATTAGTGATGGCTAATGAATCTATTGGTTTTGGATACAGCCTTTAGATTGGGCTTGAAAATGATTTGGGCTACTTGGGCTCAAATTTGAAAAGAAAATTGGACAATCCCATTTCGTGCCATCCGCCACAAGGGAAGGCACCATTCATCATGGTGGATGCCTGAAAATTTTAAATCATCAGTTTATGATTCTCAAACTAAAGAAAGAAAATAAAGGGAGAGTGAAGCAAAGAAGGGGCAATAGGAGGGCACTTTAGGCCTGTTAAGGCACGAGTCGTTTGACATTTTAAAGGATATTTAAGCTTGAGTTCTTCTTGGTAAGTCTTCCCCACTCCCATTCCTTCCCTTTACACATTCTAGAAATGAGTTTTATGGTTGGGGGATATGACTTCGAACCTTCAGGGCTATAGATCCAAATCCATTGATCTAATTGGATTGATAAGAGTTATTTAACACTTCTAAATCTAGTTTTGATATTTTTATAGGGTTATTGACACTACTGTCAAATAGCACCAAAATTAATAAAAACTAGATTTTGCAGTAAAGCGCAACCTAGGTTGTCTCCCTAAGAGTCAATAGAGTAACTGTTTGAATTATGATTATGAAAAGCTAAAAAAATGGGAGGGTTTTATGATGAAATTAAAAACTAAATTAGAAATAAATAAATAGAAGAAATTCAACTATGAAAATTATCAAGAACAAGCAGCGCAATCAATCACAACTTAATCACCTAAATTAATCTTCCTCATCCACAAAATAAATTAATTTTATTCAACTTTATTATTCTAGTTTTTTATATATTTCTCAAATTATCATTCAAGAATTAAACAAGAAATTAAGTTATAGATTAATTAAAATCTCCCTTAACCCACAACCTAACAACTGTTCTATGTTAGCTATATCAGAAACAAAGCATGGATAATCACCCAAGTTAGGCCAAATTACTCTTAAGTTACTATATCAATCGATTATAATAAGTAAAACCTCAGATAAAATTTATAACCCAAAAATTATGTAGTAAAGCTACTCTAATCAGCAATAACATTTAAAGCATAACATTTAGAGGTAGGAAGAAGAAGAAAAAATTGAAATAAAGCTAGAATAAAATTCTCTGAATATCAAAGACTCTGATTAAAATTTAGAATCATGGTTTGTGATTAATCACACCAAAAAAATTAACTCTCCATAAAATTAAAAATCAAATAATATGAGATAAAAATAGAAGAGGCCATCGCTTGTATTGAAAAAAAAAAAGAATAGCAATCGCTTCTGTGTCTCTTCTGCTCACGCCACCAACGTCTCCTCCTTTTTTTCGTGAAAGTCGTGCATGCTTTTATAGATAAAAAGGGATGAGGCGTCCTATGCATGCTTTTAAAGAAAAATTTCTAATAATTTAATAAAATAATAAAACTATTCTAAATAACCCTAATTAAAAACTACACTAAATAACCCAAAATAAATTAAAACAAAATTTTAAAGATTTAATTCTTGATTTGATCTCCAAACCTACCCATATTCTTCTTATCTAATATATTCTCTATCAATATCTTCCAAATTAAATTTAAAAGATCTGCAAAAATCAAATAGAATTAAATAGCACCTGTGCAAAAATATTAAAGATAATATTTATATTTTAAAATCAAAGATTTAGTTAGTAAAAATCCCAAAACTAAATGTTGGCTAATAAAATCAAATAATATCTAATTAAACTTAATTAGCCTCAAATAAATATTTAAAAGTCTAAATTAAAAGGATAAAAATATATAAAATTGCTATTTATTAGTTATGATATTGGGGCTAGGGTTTTGGAAGCCACTTTAAGAAGAAATTTGAGTTATTGGGAGCTACATGCAATTAACGAGAGTTAAATAACTCCTTGGTTATGAATTTAAATTAGTGATTGAGAAGTTGAAGTAATGGAAGTGTGAGTTTAGGAATTATAAGTGGCTTTTAAGAAGATATTTAGTGATTGTAGATTGCTTTTGATTGTAGTTTGACCTTGTTACATAGTTGTTGAGCTCAT